TTTGAAGGTAAGCAATAATTTAAAAATTTTTTTTTCATTTATATTTAGTAATATTTTTATATATTGATTATAGAATTCCATAATTACTTTAAATTTGGTCAATATTGTATTCAATATTGGCAATTCGTGGATTCATTTGTTTAGTGAGTTCCTACCGTATATGTTAATTCTTTTAATAAATCTTTTTCTTGACTATAATAATTAATCTACATATATACTTTAATAAAGTTTTTCTCATCATCGTATTGAAATCCCACCTACAATGTGGGTTAACGCTGCTCATAGAAATGGCACGAGAGTACTTGGAAATTTTCTCACAGAACGTGCAGCTGGTTCTAAAGATATGGAATTATTAATAAATGGACCAGATGGTAAAATAAATGAGGATGGTTTTAATCCATTTTTTGCCGATAAACTCGGTGTGTTTAAAATTATTTATTTCTTTTACCCGGTATTCTTTTTTTTTTCAAACTTTTAATTAATGTTTTAATTCATTATTAAATGTAATATAGTTCAAATGGCTGTATATTATAATTTTGACGGATGGTTTATTAATGTTGAATCTGATATGATTGGAGGAGAAAGAGCTGCACGAAAACTTATTCAATGGTTGAAATATCTAACTCAGGAAATGCATAAAAACGTACCTAATTCTTTGGTTATTTGGTAATGTTTTTATTAAATAATTCATTTATTTTTTTTTTTTTTTTTATTATCGGTATATATATATTTTTTTAGAAACATGATTATTTACAAAATTCAAACTTTCCCAAATTAATAGGTATGATTCTTTAACCACCGCTGGAAAAATAAAATATCAAAATATATTAAATGATAAAAATAATCCCTTTTTCAATGTTTGTGATGGATTGTTTACCAATTATTGGTATGATAAAAATGGACCTGCAATTTCTGCTATGACAGCTGGTTCAAGAAGTCGTGATGTTTATACTGGTATTGATACTTATGGACGTGGAACTTACGGAGGTGGAGGATTTAATACTTTTTTGGTGATTCAGTCTATAAATTCTTTCAATTTTAAGGATGTTTTTATTATTCATTTACTTATTCTTTTTTTATGGACATGAACAGGCATTAGAAGCTATTAAATATGGGAGAACATCTGCAGGAATATTTGCTCCAGCTTGGACTTTCTTTGAAGTGCCAGGTGACATTTTTGCTAATGATCGATTGTTTTGGGTTGGTAGTCCTCCTGGTGTTACCCGTAAGTTATGATTATCCTTGATTAAAGACTATATATAGCAAAGATGTTGAAATCCATTTATTTAATTAGACAGGCGCCCTGGTGTTGCTGATTATGTTGCTCCAAAATGTGTCCCTAAAAGCACAAGCTTTTACACAAATTTTTCTCTGGGAACTGGGCATCAATTTTTCATTGAAGGAAAAGTATGTAGTTAATGCGTATTGATTCTATTAATTATTATATGAATATTTAATCGCTTACATGTTTTTTTTATTAGTCCATGATAGGACTTCAAGATTGGTTCCACTTAAGTCATCAGTCTATTGGTCCAAACAATTTAACATTCCAACTTCCACGACCAAATTCTTTCTGGTGGGATTACACTTTCGATACAGCTTATAACGGTGGTACTTCGCTATCTATAAATACCAGCGGTCTATTAATTTTACCATTTGCTAGACTTCCTCTCTATAAACTTTATCTAGAAACTCCTCTACAGACACCATTAAAACTTAGTGTCACATATCTCCCAAAGCAACCAGATATAAAATTTTCCCCGTATATAAGAATAGGAACGAATTCAATTAATAATTCTATTCAAAATTTTACTATGTCTGAAGGAGCATATTTTCCAGACTCTACAAATATCGTTCAAATTGAATTGATTTCTGATTCTGGTGTTGTTATATCTAAATCATTTGCCCCTACAAACACAATTTTGAGGAATAATGGATGGATCACATCAGAATTCACTTTAACTAGTTCAATTTTTAAAAGTGGTTCTTCAAGTACCTTAGGTGGGGATGTTAATGTTAGAAACGATTTAGTAATCCAGGAATTTGGAATTTCTATATACAATTTAAAGAATCCTACATCTCATAACATTACTAGACAATTATTGGGATACGTTGGCGAACTTTCTATTATACCTCAAAATTTAAAACCTGATATAAATATAGAAATGGTTCAAAACGTCAAGTTTGAAAGAAAGATTGTTAATACACCTGATTCAGATGATCTAAGTGATGAAGTTACTTTTGTGTGGGGAATAGTCAGATGGAACGATACGGTCATTCCTTCTGAAAAGGATTCCTCAACACACTCTGACATTAAACTTAATGCAGGTACTTCTACTGAAGGAGAAAAACAACGAGTATTAGCACCAGTTGTTACAAATTTAGAAAATACATTTGCATATTATAATATTTATGTTGGGGTGTCACCATCATCTTCTAATTTAAGTTCGTCTCCTAATTTAAGCGAGATAACATTTTTAGGAATTTCCGATAACACTCAATTCTCAATTTGTGGTTATGGTGTCATGAAAAGTGAGATTGAAAGTGGAAATGGATTGGCAATATGGGTTCAAGGGGTTTATGAAATTGATGGGAGTGGCGTTGATAAAACAAAGTGGGGGATGACTTGGGTTGATTTAAAGAATTGAGGATATTTGTAGATTAGGTAGTATTATATAATTGGGTTAAACCAAAATAAATAAAATTCATAAATTTTGTCGATAATATTAAATGAAAAGTTTGTCAACATATAATAATATTCTATATATGTTTTTTTTTTTTTTTTATTGAATCATTTGTTGTTATACATCATAACGAAAAGTAAAGTAATTTTTTTCGTAATAATTTCCGTTTTAATTAACAAAACATATGAAAGAAACCATTGTCTAAATGGTTATAGAGGGTTTGGTTCTTCGATTTTTCTAAACTTACCTTGTAACCAAATTCGATACATTTGAAGTCTACGATGTCTATTAACTATTAATCTGCGGTCTACAGCATTCTGCTCAAGTGTAAATTTTGTACCCCATATCGTTTGGATTTCATCTAATAACAATATAACATAATATTTAAAGAAATGAATGATCAATCTTTTTTTTTAACTATGGTGCGCGCAATCTATGTCTGATTAAACTTTTCATTGATATGATCAATTTTTAAAGTTCGTTATCAAAAAATAAAAAGAAATAAAATACATATTTGATAATTCTTGTCAAGACTATTAAACTATGTATTCTTTTCTACATTATTTAAAATATAGATGCGCGCACCCTATTTTAGGTTTAATTAATGATATTTATAAAACTTACCCGAAGTAAAGAAATATACACGCGTACCGTCACCTCGGACATAAAAGTTATCGGATAGCATGCGGCCTTCTTTAAACCTTAGTTGTACCATATCATACCTACCATAGTCTATATAAAAATGAGCTCACATTAATGTGTGTTAAATAATACTACATTGTTAATCTTTGCCGACAATATGTACCTTACGGAATATACTCTGTAAGTTCATCTTGCTGACAAAAAATTTCTTATATAGTACAAACCTCTAAAAAGGACTAATCCACCAGGTTTAAGCATCTATATAAAATTATTTCGTTAATAAATAAACAAGCAACTGATTATAAATAAAAAGAATATACTTTACAAAACCTTATAAACATTTTCTACAGCCTGACTCCAACATTGAGGATGAATAGCTGACATAACAAATATTAATACCACAATATCAAGTGAACCAGGTTCAATGTTTTCTGGTATACTAGTACTGGTTAAATCCCAAACAAATACGCTACTGTGTTGAGGATTGTATGCAGGATTATTCTATTAATAATAGTTAAAAAAAATTGGTTATATAAAGTGATTAAAAAAAGTTCTATGTTATTGCAAATGTGATCGTTTTAAGATTACCTTTACAACTTCAACTGCATTTAAAGCAAAGTCACAAGCATAAATAAATAATTCAGGGTTTTGATTTACAGATAATAATGGAAACATTGTATTTCCAGCCCCACATCCTATCTCAAATATCTTTTTTGGACCAACCTTTAAAGAAGTAGTTTACAGCTAATAAATTTAATATATATATATATATATATATATATGCTATAGATCAGAAAAAGTAGACAGAAATACAAACATCTGATTTCGTAGTATTGTGAAGTTCGGGGAATTCTATTTTTAACCACTGACGGTCCTTAAAAAATTTATTTTCATTATGAAGATAAAATGTATTCCAATATTTCGATGCATCTTGGTGATATTTTTCTGTCAACCGTAAAGAAAATAAATAATTAATTAAATTTATCTTACACATTGTACAGTCAAACCTTCTTAAATGCACTTATAGAGATTAGCATGTATTTAGAGAATGTACATTTTTGGAAGTAGATATTTAAGCCAGAATTTGAGTGTGCATTTAGAGAAGTTTCACTGTATATATACGGTACATCTTTATATAAATGATTGCGCATACTACATACGTTGTTCTTCAAGAGGCATGGGTTTATTAGATTGTTTAAGAACTTTTTCTTTTGCGCATCTTTCCTGTTCTTCATCCCATTCTACATTGTCCCTAATGAAAAAAAAGAATAAAAGAGATATCTTTATTGCGTTAAAAAGAATTATGCACCGTTAACACTGTAAGAGCAAATTAAATACCAACCAAGCGTTATGATTCCAAACGTGTTCCTTATTTTCCAGAATTCGAGTTCCAAAGGTTGGTGTATCCTCACGAATATCACGAACGCTAGACCAGTCTTTTTTAAGTTTCGAGCGATCGGTATCTTGATCTGGCTGCAGGGACATTTGCTGATCATTAAAAATATTACATCGATATACGTATTTATAGTTTTTTTTTTACCGCAGTACTGTTACGTTTCGATTAGTATTAAACTAAATTAAGTATACAAGTTACACATGACATCCTGTAGTACTATTTCGATTATAAAAAGGAAGTTGACGTTCAATTCTTAATTCGGATCACTTAGAAAAATCGAATAATTAAAATAAAAATGTCGCAGCCACAAGAAGCAGAAAATGACCCAACTACTCAATCGTATGTATATTTGTTAATACAAGTAAACTCTGGTTATAATGACATTGTCCTAGAAATTAATAAAAGAAAATTCCAAATGCTGTTACAGTGAGTTATACCGACATTTTATTTAGGATTTTGAAATAAAAATGTCACTATAGAAAGATTTTACTATGATGTAGTTACATCTGGATGTCGTTATAACCAAAGTGATGTTTATGAAGTAATGATCCAATTATATATATACTCATTTGTTACGAGTTTAGGCAGCTACCACCACCTGTTCCGCCATTATACGATAGACCAAAGTCTACAGTTCTTGCAACGACTTTGACACCGGAACAAGTTGTAATATATGAAGAATTTCCAGAAATATTGTCAAAGAGGTAATTAAACACTTTATCATCAATTTAGTTTAATCAAGTCAAATTGTGACTATATAATGATAATGAAATAACGAAATTTTTTATTAGCAAAGAAGATTTAGAAGATCTTATTAGCAATAATGTATTTTTTGAAACTTTCTTTGAAAGCATTGAACGAATTCGTAATACAATAGCTGTTCGGGATGAAATGCGAATGGGAAATGAAATGTCAGCAAGTAAGATTTTGAAATATATATACTTATTAATTTTTAATTTTTAACCATGTCTCATCATTTTTTGGCAAAATTAAAGAAGAAACTTTGGCACAAGAAAATGACCTAAATCAACTACGGCAACGTGTTCAGGAACAAGAAAATGAACTCCTTGAACTAAATTCAACTCTTCAAGAAAAACTCAAACTTCAACAAAATGCGTTACAGGTTTTTCATTATTTCATTGTGTTAACTTGCTTTTAATTAATTAATTAATTAATTAATTAATAATATAAATTATTTAATTTCATATTATGTTGATTTGATAAATAGCGCTTTTCACCTTCAGTTTTGTTAACAAAACTTAAATCCGGTGTTCAACAATCTGATGAACTGTCAGAACAAATGGCAAACTCATTTTTAAGTGGTGAATTGGAAACGGATCAGTTTATAAAACATTTTAGAGAAATAAGAAAAGTTTTTCATTTAAGAAATGCAAAGGTAGAAATTGTTAAAAATAAACCTGGAATTTTGGATGAAAGTTTTTAGATTATCCCTTAAACCGTCAGGTTTAGCGGATAAATTTGTATGCTGAAAAATTTAAAATAGTTTTTTTATGATTTAATTTAAACATTTAAAAAAAAAAAAATTTTATATATTAATATTTGAAAATAAGAATTACAAAATAGTAATATTTATTTTTAAATTATAAGAAAAAAAAATAAAGTTTTCTATATACTAAAAATATCTTTATTCTTTACAAATTTTTATGAATAAAATTTTGACTTTAATTAGAAACAAAAAAAACTTTTTGAAGATGCAAACATACCGTATTTTCACATAATAACACCCTTGCGCGTCCTAAAATAATGCGCATGTTTGGTTTGACTCGAAATAGCACACGTGCGCGTACTCGAAATAACGCGCAATGGACGCGAAAAATACGTTATAAATTTAAAAATTTTTAAAAAAAAATTTGTAAGAAAATTAAAATTGATAATAGGTCACCTCTTTCTAATCTGAACCTTTAATCAACTCTGTGAGAATTGAATGTGAACATTTGTAAAGTTTACGGATTAGCATCATAACTCTTTGATATTTAATTATATATTATTAATTAATTATATGTTAGGCCATACAAACTTAATAAATTGGTTCTCATAGCCCTGCCGAGTCAAATTCTGCAAAACTAGATTGGTCTAGAGTTGGCCTCGAAACGAAACCTACCCGAAACTAGTTTCGGGAAGGTTCTAATTCGAAACTAGTTTCGGATTTTTTTTTAAAAACCGAAACCCGAAACTCCCGAAACTATAATCCGAAACTCCGAAACCCTAGTTGTCCAATCAGAATGCATGATCAAGTGTAACCTTAAAATCGAAGTATTACGATTTTTAAAAAATCGCTTCTAACTCTGAATTTGTCCATAAAACTGCCCTTTTTATCCTAATGAAAAATTTCCTTGGAAATTTATAAGATCTTCTAATTACTTCCCTACTCGAATCCTAACCTAAGCTTTAACCCGATTGTTCTTTGTTTTGTTTTGATTTAATTATAGGCGTCGCGATGAATAATTTTAAAGAATTTTTCGTATAAAAATATTTTTATAATTTTTTTTTGAATTTTGCTATTTACCACCACTGGTGATCATCACGGTGCTGCTATATCTCAAAAATGTACTAAGTAAACAGGATCGGGTATTCTAAGTAAAAATGTTCAGAACCCCCAAA